ATGACGGTTAAGTTTATCGGGTCGTTGCGCGCGGTTTTTGGGTCCCATTGAATACGGGCCTTGTAGTGATTCAGATTTAACGAAGGTATTGTAAGGGCCAGGTAGGATGCGAGGCTTGTGATTGCAAGTGCTCAAACCAGAGAAGAGGACCGGGTACCTTCGGCCCTAAATGCTGCCCAGCCCTAAACCCTAAACCCTAAACCCTAAACCCTAAACCCTAAACCCCAAACCCTAAACCCTAAACCCTAAACCTGAACCCAAAACTCTGAGCCTTAATCAGGTATTCCAACTCCACATCAGCCTCGGACCAGAACGGTGATCCAGGCAGCTACAAGCTCGTGCAGTCAGTGAGCATGTCTGTTTGATGTCCATCCACTCGCCTGCGATCTATCTATGTATCTATCTATCTATCTATCTATCTGTTTCTCTGACTGGCTGCGTATCTTGTTTTGTTTCTTTCTTTTTCTACCTGTTTATCTATCTATCTATCTATCTATCTACCGATCTACCGGTCTACCAATGTGCCTGTCTGTCTATCTACCGACCAACCGACCCGCCTACCTACCTACCTGCGCCCACCTGCCTCCTACCTCCTACATGGCTACCTACCTACCTACCTACCTACCTACCGACCGACCGACCGACCGACCGACCTACCTACCTACCTACCTACCTACCGACCGACCGACCGACCGACCGACCAACCGACCTACCTACCTGCCTGCCTGCCTGCCCGCCTGCCTGCCTGCCTGCCTGCCTGCCTGCCCACCAACCTACCTGCCTCCCTAATCTATCTGCCTTCCTGTCTACGTAATCCATCCGTCAATCTATCTGTGTATACATGCATGCATGCGTACATTCCTACATACAGTACAGACATGCATACATACATGAAAACACATAATGGTACATCATATCATGTATATGTGTTTGTTGACATGCCAAATGCTGGGCAAGGTTGTCTCCACTGCTCCGATGTCTTCCACGGGTGCGGGGGAGATTTGTTAGAACTTGACTCTCAAAGCCCACGCATGTTTTATCAAAGGCTCGGCTTCTTACTTCTTCTTATGAGCTTTGCTGCTGATGCTTCTACTCTCCTCGAAGCCTCCTGAGGCGAAGCGTCGCCCGAGAGGGTTTCTCCAGCATTCCGTATGCCTGAAGCATGGTTTAGGGTTTATAGGTTTAGGGTTTAGGGTTTAGGGTTCAGGGTCATGCTGCAGGCAGAAAAACTGACAAAACCGAAACACGGAAGTCCCCTTTCCCTATCCAACAGCTTGACTCCAAAACCCTAAACCCCAAACCCCCAAAAACATCGAGCGACGAGCCACCCGACCTTCAGATCCCCAACTCCCTAAACCCTAAACCCTCAACCCTAAACCCTAAACCCCCTTAAGGCGGAGACGGTGAGAAGCGACGTCCATGGGAGCCCCCGCCCGTGGCACCGAAGAGGTTGGGTCGTCATATGGGGCTTTAAGAGTTGAAATAGGGTTCCTTTAAAGGGATCCTGAAAGGGTTCTTTTAAGGGATCTATAGTAGGGTTCTAGATTAGGGGCCTTAGTAATGCGAGCAGGGTTTGGGGGTACATTATCCTATATTTGTGATAAAGGAACTCCCAAAGCCTTATTCTAATTTTTAAGGCCTTATTCTAATTTTTAAGGCCCCTACATCAAGCTAGTTGAGGGGGCTCGGCGGTTAAAAGCTTGAGGGCTGTGGGTTCAGGGCTTGGGCTTCAGGATGTCTTGTGGGTGTGCCGGTTTTAGGGTTTAGGGTTTAGGGTTTAGGCGGTGTTTTCATGGATAGTCACAGGAATTGGGGTTGGGTCCTGTGCAGACTTTTGGGTGAACTTGGCGTTCGTCAGGCTGGCTCTTAGGACTTTAACTTTCGGGGTTTCTGCATGAACTATAATAAGTAGGCTAAAAGCTTAACCTTTAGGAGGGGTCCAGAAGTCAGCAAAGTTAAGCTTCAGGCCACATTGTACACTTGTGCTGCCCAGTACACTGACCCTTAACAGACGTCTTTTATTTAGGATTTCTTCTGGGAGTTCCTAAACTAATTCTCGCACGAAGCAGGAGAGGTGCCTTTGGAAGGGAGCATGGACCCGCAAGCCCAGAAGCTTTAGCGGCGCTGATGGTTGCAGGTTTCCAGCTCCTGCAAAAGAGGCCCGGGGTCTTGGTTTGTCTTCCCATGCCGGCTTGGCGGCTTGGGGTTTACAGTTTAGGATGAACAGGGCCAGGGGCTAAGAGCTTCGGATTATTTTGGGAAACTGGGTTCAGAGGTTGTGGTTTGGGAGGTGTAGGGTTTTGCATTGGGGGATTGGCACTTCTGGCGCCCATTCTGCGTAACTCCAAAAACCCTAAACCCTGAACCCTAAACCCTAAACCCTCAAGCCTCAACCCTCAACCTCAACCCAAACCGTAAACCCCAAGCCTCGACTCCAGACGAATAGTCCTAAACTCAAGCTTGCAAAGGTGCTTGAAGCCTTAAAGCCCCGAACCCTAAAGTTTAGGGTTTAGGGTTTAGGGTTTAGGGAACCCTCAACCCGAAACCCCAAGCCCAAAACCGCCAGCCCGGACATACAATCCTAAACTCTAACTTCAAATCTCGATCCTCGGAGATGTCTTGATGTCCTCACTGTTTCTTTAGCGCAGGTACAGCAGGAGGTCAGGGCACCGCCGCCTCCGCCACCAGTTGAGCAGGTCGTTGTGGGAGCATGCTGGGCTCATGACTTGAGGCTCTAGAGGTAGGGTTTAAGGTTTAGGGTTTGGGGTTTAGGGTTTAGGGTTTAGGGTTTAGGTTTAGGTGTGACATTAAGGTCTAGGGGTTTGTGGATTAGGATTTAGGGTTTGGGATGTAGGGTTTGAGGGCTCGTGGTCTAGGGTATTTCCGGAAGCTTCCGTCGAAGCCCGCATACACGACTTACCCGAATTACTATACTATAGCTACGTAGGGATGTATGAGGACCAGAAACCATAACCGCACGGGTGACTGGTCTTCCAGGGCTCGTTCCACGGCAGTGGCACCAGGCAGAAGTTTTCGACGGAGTGTCGTGCTTATTATTAATGTTATAATTAATTCGTATTAATACATTAACTATATAAATTTTAAGAGTTTATATTAATTTTTTACATTATATTTTTGACATGGTCTTTGTAGGCTTCTTTTTGAGGAAGCAGCTCTGTTCTAGAAAGGTCGAGGCGCTGGTTGCTGCCGCCATGCTGTAAAATGCTCGAGAACACAAGTGCTTTCAACATGCTTTCGCTAAGAACACACACCGCCACGGTGGACCAGGCCGAAAACCCAAACCTCGTGACAGCGCCCTTCTGGGATCAGGACCCCTTTGCCGCCTTAGATGCCCTGGAGGACCTGCTTGAATGCCTGCTTTGGTGGGCCCTAGAAGCAGCTTCAGTGCAGATAAGCATGCAGCATGCATTCCTGCGTGCAATGTATGTAAGTCATGTACGGTACGACACTGAACCCTAACCCTAAACCCTAGACCCTTAACCCTAAACCCTAAACCCTAAACCTTAAGCCTGCACCGTAGGGCATTGCCTGACCCCTAAAACCTGAGTCAAAAGACCCTGCAGGCCTGGAATCCTCGCAGTCCCCTAAATTGTTCCCGAAGTCTTGTAGACCACCCCTGGTATGGGGTTTAGGGTTTAGGGTTTAGGGTTTAGGGTCCATGATGCAGTGCTAGGGAAGAGTTGAAGGCAGGGTATAGTGCAGAGTGACTTCTAAACCCGTAGCCCCAAGTCGGTATGGTAACAGAGGAAGAGCTAGTTGTAATACCCCACGTAGTGGTCCCTGACATGATTCTACTAGAATGTGCCCCCAAACCCCTATTCTAACTGTGAAGGCCCCTAGGTAACCCCTACAGAACCCCGATCAACTCTTCGACAAAAAGCCGTGTCAAAACTCCAGCGTCCCGCCTCTCCACCCTTTACAAAGATCAAGCTCGTTATGTACTGGTTCACAATAATAATAATGATGATAATGATGATAGTAAGTAGCGACAACTAAACCCTAAACCCTAAACCCTAAACCCTAAACCCTAAACCCTTTTATAAAGCTCGAATCCCGAAGGCCCTGCAGGCCCTAGGGGCCCCACTACCCCGAGGTCCCAGTCACCGACCGCAAACCCCTATCAAAGAGCCCAGCCCTAAGCCCCGAACCCTAGACTCCACCTTAAGAGCCCCAAACCTACTTTTTGTAGGTTCCCTATAAATCCCATATTTGGGTTTATAATAAGAACCTACAAAAAAGTGGGTTTTGGGTTCTTAAGGTAGACCCCAAACACCAAAAGAAAGATCCTCGAAGAGAACCCGTAAATGACTTGCGACCAAAATGGGAGCTTCCGAAAATTAGGGGTACCTTCTTTTGGGGTCCTTATAATAAGGATCCTATTATTTGGGGGTACTATATTGGGGTCCCCTATTTTCGAAAACCCCCCAAAATCGCCAGGAGCTGGCAGGGCCGGCCCCAGATTCCTCACCGGCGCCTGCGCCGCCGGGAGTCCAGGCGAGGGATGACGGGCTAAATCCTTTGAAGCCTTAGAAAGGGTTTGCGTTTAGGTTTAGGGTTTAGGGTTTAGGGTTTGGGTTCAAGCCTTCCGAAGAGTAAGCCTCCCCCCAACTTACACCTCTGACAGAAAAGCCCAGCAAGACACTGACCTAAAAAGCCATCTTGACAAGCTCTCGTGTGAATTCACTATGAGGCTCTTCTCAGAAGCGGTCTGGAATTGTTATACTAAGTTGACAGGAGCAGCGCAGAAACGCGCTGAAGCGCTAAACCCATGAAGCCCTTTTAAGCCCTAAGCCCTGAACCCCAAAAGCCCTAAACCCTAAACTCTAAACCTTAACCCTATAAACCCTAAACCCTATAAACCCTAAGCCCTAAACCCTAAACCCTATAAGCCCTAAACCCTAAAGCTTAAACCCTATAAACCCTAAACCCTGCAGCCCTAAACCCCTATAAGCTCTAGCTCCCCCAGTCTCTCCGCGAAGGGCGAGCTGCTGAAGGAGGCCCGAGCTCGCGTGACGGGCGCCGCCGCTGCGAAGCGAACCCCGCAGGTGCGGCTCAAGGGGTTTAAGGGTTTAGGGGTT